GTATTGTCAGAAACAAAAGGAGGCTCTGTTTGTGATATGGGCATTTAGAAGACTGCAAAAATACTTGTTTGGTCTAAAATTCCATTTGTAACTGGTCACCAGGCGTTAAAATTTATTTACTACCCCACTAAGTCATTCCATAGATAATCGGCACCCGCTGTCCACAGATGGAATTTAGAATTGAGTACCCATGACTTCACCATTGAACAGCGAGTTGCCAAAAGCATATCACATGCAGATTATCTGTAACGGCATTCATAACTTACAATGTCACTTGACAAAAGTGATCATATATTTTGTCAACTAGCTTAGATATGCTGAGTTGTGCAATAATAGAGAGGCAATGTCATTGTAGAATTCTTTTTGAATGTTTTGTGTTTTTGGAAAATCCCTCCATGTTTACATATTTTTGCTATGACATGATGGACTTTTTCTGTTGACATTTTTGGTATTTTATTTGATTCCAATTTGAGATTTTATCATTGTATATTGTTATTCTTTCTATATTTTGTACTTATATTGAAGTTTTTGTGTTTGCTTCTGAACTGTACATATATTGTTTAAATCTGATATAATATGGCTACCGCCACATTTTCGGACGGACGCAGTGGCTGCTGGACTTAGCTTCACTTATCGGCTATTGTGTTGGATACTCTGCGGAGTAATTTAACCCTGGAAGAAACACAAATTCCGTAAGACTTTGTATTTCCATTTTATAATAATAAACAGAGACGTTTTCTCCTAGAATTTTGTCCTTTTTTGAATTGATTGGGACTCGCGACTAGGAAAAACGTACAGGAGTGTTTCTATTGGAAACAACTGGGACAGCCACTGTCGAAATAAATCTACAGTCATTGCATCCTGTGGATATTTTGTGCTTTAGCAACAGAGTAATCTTACTTATTTGCATAAACTTTCATACGAGGATCCACCTTGAAATCCTTGGCTTGTGTCAGATGAATCATGATAACACATTCGTGTCGACTACAACTGACCACCCCTAAACTCAAATCATGTTTTAGTAATTATCGATACCAATTCCACATGGCCGGATGATGTTCTTACAAACAATCCTGGTGGAAACTTTGTTTAACGAGCGGTGAGTAGGGTATTTCTCGTGAAGGAACACCCAGTTGTTTAGTAACTGAGAATGGCACGCAGTTCACCGAAAAGGAACTTAATGATTTTAACACCACCTTTTTGTGGTAACTACCCGTCCGAAGACCGGACAAAGGAGAAGCGTTGAAATGAGGTTAATGGCCAACTAGCAAAGTAATCACTAGTTTTTAACGACTTACAGAAGCACTCCGAACCATACGGTCCCAGACTATTTTTAACGCAATGTTGCCCCCTAAAAGAGTGAATAGGTACAGGCCAAATCAAAACATGCGCAGCTTTAACGTTGGCGATAAAGTGTTTCTAAAATCATACCTGAGGAAAAATCTATGGGAACCAGGAACTGTTGTACAAAGACTAGGAAGAGTGTTGTATCGGATAACAGGAGCTTCCGGAAGCTGTGTTAGACACACGAACCAACTGCGAAAGGACAAAAGAATGGTACGCTTGGGTGATAATCGCGTAAATCTACCGCTGTAGTTGATCACAGAACCGGCAACTACACAGTTGCCCCGGAATACCGAAGAAAAAGGAAGGTCGGCGACGCTAACTAGAAAAACTACTACCGTAGAAATCTGACGTGCTAAAACAAACGCTAACCAGAAATGGGTGACACTACACAGAACTGAAACGAGCACATCCGCATCACCTGAAGTTCAGAAAGACCATAGAGAACATATGAACAATGGAGGGGGCTGACAGCTTCAGATCATCACTTGGTGGTGGCCAAGAGGAAAGTGGAACTAAGGAAGCACTAGAAAACGAAGCGAACTACCGCAAAACGTAATTGATCTGAAAAATGTGATGTATTTGCGCTATACATTTCGAACAATCTGGTCACACATATTTACTTGTCATGGCATTTTATATGAAGATGAATAAAGGGTCAATTAAATAAAAGTCCAAATAGACATAGGGTGATAATTAGAAAATAAAGGAGAGAGAAAATTAACGTGATATGAAAAGAATAAGAAGGGGTAGGAAAATTGTCACATTACCCTAGGCTTAGAGATTACCAAGGTAAATTCAAGGTTATGACAAATTGTTTCTGCACACATAAAGGGGGTTTTAATTTTCAAATCGCCAGGGCCTTCATAAACCTCAAAATTCGTCCTTCAACATTTCTATACAATGTTTTGAAGGCTGTCTTGATGTCAATCTTATGCCCTGTCTCAATTATGTGGTTGACGATCGATGAACATGGTTTTCTATTTCCAACGTTAATCGGCTCATCTGACGTTAACTGATTTTGAAGCCACTTAGGTACATGTTCCACAACCCTTGATTGCAAAGTCCGATTACTCTTCCCTATGTATGTGTGTCCACACAAACATGTAAATTGATAAATACAATGGGATGTGATGTAATCATTAGAGCAACGTCTAGGTATATGCGAAATCATGGACTTGGTCTTTTCAATGATAATCAGTTTAGCAGCGTTGTATGTTTTCTCTATGGCTGCTTTTAGTCTCTGTCTTATTATTAGACCATTTGCTTCACCTCTAAATGGTAAAGTGATATAAACCTTTTTCTTTTCAGCAGAATCAAACACTTGCTTTTGTCTTAACTGATCTCTACACCTATTGATAAACTTTAGTGGATAGCCATTTGAAATCAATGCTTCAGTTAAGAATTTTGCATCGTCGTCAAATGTATCCGTGGTGCAAATCATTTGTGCCCTATTGAAGAGGCATTTTACTAAACCTCGCTTGTGTTGCAGTGGACAAAAACTGTTGAAATTTAGGTACTGTCCAGTCCACGTCGGCTTTCTATAAACAGATCGCTTTATAGTTCCATTATCTCTTCGACTCAACAATATGTCTAAGAAAGGCAACGGATTATTATTTTCTGGTTCATGAGTTAATACAATATCATTCTGAAGACCATTGAAGTTTTCCAGTAACTGGGAGACGTTAAGTTCTTTATCACATATAATTAAGATATCGTCCATATATCTCCCATAGAGAGTAAGCTTATTAATGTGCTCATTCCACAAATTTTCAGCATGACCCATGTAAACATCGGCTAAGAGAGGTCCCAAAGGACTACCCATAGCAACGCCATCAACTTGCTGGAAATGTTCATCATCAAACGTGAAATGAACTTTCTCAGTACATAATAAAATTAATAATAAACGTCAGATGAGCCGATTAACGTTGGAAATAGAAAACCATGTTCATCGATCGCCAAACACATAATTGAGACAGGGCATAAGATTGACATCAGGACAGCCTTCGAAACATTGTATAGAAATGTTGAAGGACGAATTTTGAGGTTTATGAAGGCCCTGGCGATTTGAAAATTAAAAGCCCCTTTATGTGTGCAGAAACAATTTGTCATAACCTTGAATTTACCTTGGTAATCTCTAAGCCTAGGGTAATGTGACAATTTTCCTACCCCTTCTTATTCTTTTCATATCACGTTAATTTTCTCTCTCCTTTATTTTCTAATTATCACCCTATGTCTATTTGGACTTTTATTTAATTGACCCTTTATTCATCTTCATATAAAATGCCATGACAAGTAAATATGTGTGACCAGATTGTTCGAAATGTATAGCGCAAATACATCACACTTTTCAGATCAATTACGTCTTCTCACTGTTCTATCAAAATTTATAAAAGGGTCTAATTGTTTTAAGTAACGCAAAAGTCTAATACAGACTTTCTTAGAGATACTATAGAACTGAACGTATTCAAGATAGCACATAGTAGTAAGTTTCAGGCCCCTAACTACCTACTCAGTATAGAGCAAATTACCATGGAAAACAACTGCATAACACTGTTACTACGTAACTGCAGAAATCTATTAGGTTGATCTCACAATACAGATATTACTCACACATAACAGCAAGCAAAATGATGGTTGGTGAAGGGTTTGTTGACAATATTAGTAGTTCTAGGGAAGTGAAACGAGCACAAACAGAAGGGACGAAATTGGAAGGCAAACAACGAAACACAGCTTGCAGTTTAGTGCCGGAACAGGCGATAACAGAAACACTAGCGTGACAAGACATGATGCGAAAAAGTTTTTAAGATGAATAATCCACCTTAAATATTATTAACTCTCAGCATCTCTACACGGTGAAGAATTTAACCTAGCTCGCATAAACTAACACGAAAAACACAAATTTAGTAAAAAGAAGTAATTTTGGCTCATTCTTAGCGTCAATAACTCCAAATACAAAGGAAACTGAATGGACGAAAAGCTCTATCTTTATCAGCTTACAGTGATGCCGAAAATGGTGCACCTGTAGCCATTAGCTCACGGATCCGATTGGCTGCCATGATTCGAGGATATAACGTGTAATATACCCTCACCCATAGAGTAATTACCAGTGGAGTTTCTTCAGAGTTGATGAAAATAAAGATATATTGAGTATAAAAATCACTCTACCCTCATCATACAGAAAGAAATATGTTAGTTATTGTACTAATAAAAAATATTACATTTGCATGCCGTCATACACTTCTCGGCGTAAGTGGAACAGTTAATATCAGACAAAAAAAGCGTTTGACAAATGGGTGTGGCAGACATCAAGTCGAATAAGAGATGTTTGCATGTGGGAACAGAACATATTTTCTCACAAAAAGCTGTGGATAATCAGTTTCCATTACTGGGAAACTGTTTTATCAAACCATGTGGATCTCCATACAACCTATCTTGGAACTGAAACAAAAAGCGACGACGTTTTTCATTTCATGGCGATTCTTCATACAGGAAAAATATTTTTCTGAATATGTAGCAGTACTCATTATCCCATGAACATGTTTTGTTGCGCGTAATACGGTGCTAGCGCTTCGTCTAATAAATTAATGTCGGTGCAGCATTGCTGTAATCTCCACTTTGCTTAGGATTTAAAAATTCAACTCCTGAACCCCCAAATGGCTCTTTCAGGGTCTAAGGAGTTCGTTGATATGCTGCTAGCCCGAGAATTTACAAGGTACTTAGTTTCTGATCATAATACATGATAACAGTGCTGATGGTCTGGTACTTATTATGAATGGTTGTGATGTTAGTGGACACAGTTTTAAAACGAATGGTTTTACGAAACCCGTTTTAGTACGGTCAAAGGATGGCCTAAGACTTAAGGTCCCGCTAGAATCATTCTCTCACACAGATTTAACCAGGTTTATAGGTACTGGAAGTCCATTAAATTCATAGATTTTAGATCCTAATATTCAGGTTGACGTCATAGATGTTCGTCAGCAAGTTGAAATACAAATGACTCTTCAAGAACTGGTTGATCACTTTTCCTCACCTAGTCGACAGGTATTGTTAAACATGCTGAGTTTGGAGTTTTCAAAAACCAGGTAACATAAGTTGTCTTTACATTAGAAGCAGCCTGGCAAAGTTTGTACATCCTCCGCATGTTGTTTCGGAACTTAGTCTTGTCACAACCTGTTGGCCGGAAGATGATCCTGATGATCTTAATGATATCGAATTTGTCGACGAGACCGCACCAACTGTCCAAAAATACTGTCTTTTAAGTATGAAAGGGAGTTACACTGACTTCCATATAGACTTCGGTGGATCATCTGTCTGGTATCATGTTATGTGGGTAGGTTTTATTAATCTGTATGAGGCATATGATCATAGGGTGAGAAGGTGTTTTACTTGATACCACCTACACCTGAATATGTTTCTGCGTACTGGCGATGGTGTATGAGCAGCAACCATAAGACGATGTTCTTCCCAGACTTTTTAGCTCGTCTTCAGGAAAAAGGCAAGTATTCGTTTGTACGTAGTAGGACAGCTCTAAATTTCTTTTCTAGAATCGACTAGTAACATGAATAAACCTACTGTTTACTGCCTTCACATTCTACCTGGTCAAACAATATTCTTACCTTCCGGTTGGATTCACGCTGTCTACACGCCTTCTGATTGTCTTGTTTTTGGAGGAAATTTTCTGAGTGGATTGCACGTACCCATGCAACTCAGGTATGTTACTGAAGTACATTTATGTGACCTGGCCCCGTATTTAAACTATATATGTGACTAATTAACATGTTTTAAAGAAGCTTAGATGGTTAAATTCTCAAATTTTAGCTACATTTTTCGGTTATGAAATAAACTGAAGTTCTATCAGTGTAATTCTGAACTTATCATTTGGTCATTATTAGTTACTATACGATCCAAATCCTGGATATATACTCCAATTTATTGTGAGATTTGCTGCAAGCAGTTAACGTTTTACATAATAAACCATTGTTCTATCGTATATGTGATTTCATCTAATGCATAGTTTTGCTAAGGTCTTATTTTGTCAGATAACAAATGTATGAAGTCACTGACTTGGAAATTTCTAGCAACTTATAAGCTTCATGAGATAGTAATGTGAAATTTTGACTTATCCTTACATTGTATTCAGCAACTAAGTACAATTTCGACTACTTAGATCCATATCACGATGTCACTAAAAATATTACTTGACTTCTCGTATCGGCCTAATGTAGCCGGATTCAGGCCTCAGTAGAAGTTTATGACTTATTTTGTTCTTTACCCTTTCGTCTCAGTAGTCATTCCCAAAAGTCAAGTACCGATCTGCAATCGTATTTAGTTTTATGGTCAAAATAAAGTCTCATCAGAACCATGGACCGATCAATGCTAGATCACCCTTAAAAACCTGAAAGAACTAGAAGGCGGTTTTGTCCTAGCCTGGGATCCATCAGCCATGCGGATTCACAACCCCTTAGGCGAAAATCGGACCCAAGAGCTTCGGCCTTGCACGCAGACGCTTAGCCCTTTACTGAAACAAAACAGCTGTTTAGAGCTTCCAGGTTCCCAACGGTGGTCTTACATTGATCGGTTGATGATTTCGCTGAAGCTCAACAATCTCCATAACCTTATAGTGAGAAAATATTCAAAATGCGATGGTTTTTTCGTATTTACTGTTAAGTTGTTCATTTTTAAAATCATTTCCTTCATCTAAAAAGCTGCCATCAGGTTACATCATAATCGGTATCACTACTGTTTTAAAATAATTCAGTCTGCTTTCCAAAACCTCACCTCCATACACACTCAGTTCATACAAACATGCGTTTCCGCTTCTCCTTAACCATGTCAGATCAGCTATTGATCCGTGGATTTTGAACTTGAATGGTTTCGTGATCTAGGCACATGTTGTAAGGTGAAAAACACTGCTCCAGAGATCATCTCCAATGTTAGCCAGAACCAACATTGTTTTTACCTATTATTGATCTGAAATCATCCTTTGTGTAGTAAAAACCTTATATCTTGTAGTTAAAGTTTAAGCAATTCAAAATCAACAGGTGACAGGTAAGTAAAATCAGACGATTCTCCTCGCTTTCAAACATAATAATATTACCTCTCTAACCAACTTTGTGGTGACATCATCAGTCAGTTACAACGTCAAACCTGGTATGTACGTACATCGGTTCAAGTTAATACACAACATTAGCAAGAAGGTAGAATTGTCAAACCGGATCCCAGTGTAGTAGAGGTAGTAACAGTATCAGCGGTAATCAAGAAATTAGGCATCAGAGATATTCGAAAAATACAAATCAGTGAAACAAAAAATTCATGAGAAATCCAGACACTCATAATTCGGAGGAAGACAAAAAATGGATACATCTGCACCATTGCAGATACCCCAAACATGCTTGAATTGTTGCGCAAGGTGGTCAGAGGACTATCAGCGTCTTCATTGAACAGGACTATACCATCTGCATATTCTAAGTCAACAAGTGAATCTCCTGGTAGAAGTACAACCCTTGAAAAGTCAGACTATGAAGGTTATCCCTGTCAATTAGACCATGCTTCCCCCTTCACTTTAAATTTCTCGTAGCTATTTTGAACTCACTGAGTCTTGGCGGATTTACATCAATTTGTCATTCAGATTGATTAGAGATGGTGGGTAACCGAAGTGTAGCTGAAGGTCAGTTGAACTACCTCCTAAAGTGTTCTGCCCATCGATCCAATCTCCTAGATTGACAATAAATAACAGTCACGTCTTTTTCCGAGAGTCTCACTTAACAGCCGGATTCCTAATACCCATTTCCTTGATGTCTGAATAGTTGTGTACTATTACCTATTGTTGCTGTCTTTTCCATCGCTTGCTTTCGCTGTCCACCACTGTTCACGATCATTGCGTAGGCTTTTTATTAGTCTGTGCTTAAACTTCCTCCGGTTCATGTCGTGTTCAGAGCCAGACAAGACGAGTTTCCGAGCGTAGATGCCAGTGAAATCCATTGCTCCTCCTAAACCCTTCGGTCTAACCTACCAGCAGATATCACTGCTGTTTCCACAACTTTCGGAATATTTTTCCAAGATGCCTCGGGGTGGGCACCACTTATATGGTTATGTTTTTCTAGTTGCTTTTGAAATATACTCTTGGTTTTCTGTCGTTAAGTAGAACTCTAAGGGAGTCTTCGTGCTGTGGCTGTTGGGTGCAGCGTCGAGTCGATTTTGGGGGTTTCATGTCGAAATATGTTTTTCTCTATGCATAAAGTTGGTATTTGTCAGAAATAGGCAATTATCTGAGCATATCCACAGCAGACGACTGTTGTTATTGGTTCAATGAGCAGCGACACTACAAGAGCCACCTGTGTGCCTTTCCGTTTCACTTAGTCTACCTACTTTAGCATTAAAGTCACCAGCCACTATTATTACGTCAGACCGCTTGACGTCTTAAAAGAGGTTGAAAAGCTTCCTATAAAATGCATCTTTCATCTCATCTGAGCTGCGACCAGTGGGAGTGTGGGCAGAGACAACGAAGAGGCAACAGCGAGTGTCCCTATCTTTCCAAGTCCTTACTGCCGCGTTTAATCGGACAGCGCATGAGCGATTATCTACTGGGATCCAATCCAAGAGGGCTATTTCTGCTTTAGAACTCAATGCTATACCTATACCAATGAGGCTAAGGGAAGAAGCAGTGCGGCTTCCAGATACACGAAGCACAAATTGCAATGGTTCTTTAGTTTTAGAAGCTAAAGTCAAATGAATTACTGTACTCGGATCCTCTATGCGCGTTTCAGAGACGCAGCATACATCGATGACGAGAGACTCTAGATTCCTTGCTAAGGAAGCCTGTTGTCCTACTTGGCTCAAGGTCCGAACATTAAATGCTCCAACATGTAGTTTAGAGCACGGTTTCAGGAGACCAGGAATAGTGTTTTGTGTACTCGAATCGCTTTTGTCACTTTCCGGTTGCCCATACTGTGGAACGGTGTTTCTTGAGGAATCTGAAAAAGAAGTTGAGTTAGCGTTCATCTTGGCGACCTTGGGGCGCGACGTCAGAGCCCAAGGGAAAACTACTCGAGGCCGGTAGCGCATGGACTTTTTATGGGACGTTTTTCACGTGTTAGCTTCGCTCTTCGATAGGCCTGATCTCTAGAGACGGAAATCCGTGGGTAAGGTGAGGTGCGGTATTTTTAGGGTCGACCTTTTCTAATCCCATCCGTTGTGAGAAGACAGCATCTCTGGAAATGCTGCTTGTCCGAGGGAAACGCCTTACTGCTGTCACATCTCTCTACAGTCATCAGTACGATTTTACCCCCAGTCCTTAAGGTGCTGCTTCTAGTTTCATTGTTCTCCAACCGACTTATCTGGCATAGTAGGACCTAAAAGAACATATGTTGCAGCTAAGATGGCTCGGTCAGTTCATCACGACAGGCAAGTCTGACGATCGTGTCAGTGAAGCACTTGCGATTGGGACGTTACATTATGATGATGTTGTGACTGTATTATTTTGTTTTCATCCTTAGTATTTTTGTTTGATTTTAGGAGAATGTGAGTCCCAATCACTTTTTAAGTAAGTGTAGATTGCAAAAAGAGGCCACACTTGGTTGTATCAGCCATATATTGACCCTTTGTCAGGTCCTACAACACATACTCACATTTCAGTGTCCCACTATAGTTGTATTCCTTGATCGTAAAGCGGCATTCAAATATGTTGATCATGAGGTTTTTTGACTATGTCTGTCATTGAAAGGTGTACCGAAGAAGTACATTAACTTTGTACACGCTCTCTACTTGAACACTACTGATCGAATGAGAGTTTATGATGAACTGTCATCGGAATTCGTTAATTCAAGTGGTGTCCGTCCGTTCTTGTCTAACTTCGTCATAGACATGCTTTTAGACTTTAGCGTGTTACCCGCTTCAGTTATTTCGGTAGTCATCAGTATTGATGGCATGGTGTCTTACGAAATTTCGGCACAGATGCAGAAGGCTCAACTGGCTTTTAGCAACTTGCATCACTTATGGCGTAGGCGAGATATCCGTCTGCTAACCGAAGGATGAGTTTACTACGCAGGAATTCCCCCCGTCCTACTATACGGGCGTGAAACATGGCCACTAAGAAAACATTCGTAAGTTACGACCATTTGATCATCGGTCCCTTCGAAGCATTGCTTGTGTATTCTGAGTAAGCGATATCAGTGTTAATAGAAAGGCACTAGGTAGGGATGCAAGATCAATTGATGGGGTAGTGAATGTCCATCAGTTGGGGTGGTAAGGACATGTGATACGTATGCCTAACCACCGACTGCCTCGAGCAATGTTTTGTGGCCTAGGGATAGGCTGGAAGAAAACTAAGAACGGCCTAACCAAAACATGTCACGAATTCAAGAAGTCCCTGAATACTGAACTGAGCCGTGTCAGTAGATGTAAACTATGTCGCTGGGTTCCGCGAGACGATAGTAACCGATGGTTAGAAACTTTGAATGACATGGCTCAAAATCTTTTGCAATGGCGCAGATTCGTCTATTATTTGCATTCTCGCATAACCTCTTGAGCCCATGACCTTTTCTTATCTCTTAAATTTATTTCACTGGATAATACTTCTTGAATAATATCTTCGAACCCTAATCTTCTCCATTACGGCTAATATTTCTGCTACATCTACCACAGTGGGTTTCAAATCCACAATTGCATCTTTATGCTAATGTGGTGCAGTAACTTAAACTGATGTGCATTTTTACGAAGTTTTACATTGTAGGTGACTGACCGACTGACCAGTTAAAGGAGTTTCATCAGATCCTTACTGAGATGTCTAGACAAATATCGTTCGAACAGCCGTTGCATTCTATCCGTCTTTATAGCAAAAATCTAGCCACTTTTTTGTTGTACTGAAATCATAAGTTAAGATTCTATGTAGCTCGTTGAGTGAGTCATAGACAGCCACAGTATTTACTGGATTATGTCAAAAAACAGTTTTATCTCAATGATGAGTAGACTGTAGTAATGAAATGAATCCACTACCCAACATACTAAAGTTCGGCTGATAGATCTTATTGTGAACACTTAAGGTCAAACAGCTTTCGAAATACTGTTCTAGCGAGTCAAGAAAACTGGTCCTGAGTGTTTTTCCTTCAATACTAATTGGAAATAAAAGTTCTTAAAACTGTGGGAAACGTTGATTGAGGTTAGAAGTTATCAATAATTTGAGAGAAATAATCTGTAGGACTTATATAGTTTATTTATGGCCTATTATTTACTCTAGGTTCTGATAGTATTTGATTACGACATAATCTTTAATCTTAATTTCTTAGTTTAGTCTGTGATGTTCTTACTGTAGAGTTTATCGCATGGAACAAAAATGTAAAACCCCGATAAAATTCCTCTTCCCCAATTTTGAGAAAGTTCACTGGTTTTATAGCCAATGTCTTCTGGACAGACTAACTAGTAAGTAACTCAGTCAATATATTTTGAATGACATAATCTATAAACTCATGCTGAACATCTCATTCTCTCCAATATTTCTGAATTTATTTTAATTTTCACTGTTATTGTAGATAACTTGATTGATGGCGTAAATCCCGTTAGTTTCGATGTAGAGGCGGCAGATTGTTTGGCTAAAGTTCTTCCTTTATGGTATTCTAAGAGACATTTGGTAACTGAATGTTTTATTACAAACCTCATTCCTAATTTTAGTATGTATTAATTGTATTTTGTATCTATTCTACATAGACACGATGATTTTGCTTTGTTAAAGATCGCCGGATAGTCACCATGACAGGTTTGGAATCTTAGTTGTGACAAAAAGTCTTTACAAATTTCTACTAAGGTCAATAAATTACAACGAGAACTTCGTACGTATATCCATAAGTTCAGGTTGCCATATCACATTTGTACAAAGACTCAATTGTCAGTCCAAACCCCACAGTAGTAGAGATAGTTAAGTATTAGCCGTAACGAAGAAGAATAGGGTTGGAAGATATTCGAGAAGTATCATCCAGTGAAATAGATTTATGAAAAGAAAGAGGTGACGAAGAATTCAGAAGATTAGAATTTGAGAAAACACAAAGAGTGGATCCATCTGAGCTGTGTCGTTCAAGGTTTGTAACCATCGGTTACTATCGTCTCACGGACCCCAGCGACATAGTTTACACCTACTGACACGGCTCAGTTCAGTGATCAATGACTTCTTGGATTTGTGCCATGTTTTTCGTTAGGTCGTCCCTAGCTTTCTTCCAGCCTACTCCTACATCACAAAACATAGCTTTTCGAGGCAGTCGGCGGTTAGGCATACGTAACACATGTCCTTACCACCCCAATTGATTAACATTCACTACTTCATCAATGAATCTGCCATCCTTACCTAGTACTGGTTTCCTAACAACAGCATTGCTTACTCGATTGTCCCAGAATTTACGAGCAATGCTTCAAAGACAGTTTTATTTGAATAATAGTAATAACCTACGAATATCCTTGCTTCTTACTGGTCATGTTTCACAACCATAAAGCTTACGTTTATTTTTATACGTGACTGCCGAGCTACGTTAATCTATGGGCATTTTACAGAATCTCTCGTGTTCGTATGTTTCACTATTAGTTGTTAGTGCATAGTGAAAAGATATTGTCGAGTAAAATATATAGACACGCGTGCAGCTAGTTGATTCGCTAATGGTCTAGCTAACGCATTTATGTCAACCAATAATAAGAATTACTAAGCATTTAATTCTACTCTCATGTCACGTTTGAGATTTCTTAATAAACAGTCATCTGCAATCTGTAAAACTTAATTTAAGAAAGTGAAAATTTTTCTCCTTCATGGGAAGATCTACTTTTTAAGAGGTCGAAATTATTTCCCAACTTAATAGTAGTAACTGTGTCAAATGTTGGTACTGCTTGTAAAACAGTATCTTACTCTAAAAACTGTAGTCTTCGCAATTAAATATTTATCGACGCTGTTATGGACTACTAATTCTAAAATTAAGAATGTTGATAAATATTACGATAAAACCATCATGTAACAAAACTGTTGATTGCAATTATCAATGTTTTTAAAGTTATTTTTGTTTCCAGAAATTATTCATTAAGGCATCAACTATTATGCAAATAAATAAATAAGTCCAGTTTTTGAGCCACATTAAGGGCTGCAGACATCATGGTTTGAGTTCATAACATAACCAAGACTTATGGTCAGAGACCGTAGGTAACATAATGTGAAATGGGTGAAAGTAGTGCTAAAAGACTTGTTCTCTAGTTTCTCCCGAATTTCAGACATGTTATTATCTCATAATTCTTCTGCTGCTATTTTATTCTCTTTATAATGTTTTGTGTACTTATTATTTCCTTCGTAGCAAGTAAAAAAAAATACATATCTTATTTTACTACCTATCGGATTTATTTTATAATTTACGTTTGTAGTAATTTAGTGATAGTACTCAAGTATTGTCCTCTCGGTTGCACACATTTTCCTTAGCTTTCTCTAGTCTACCGTTTTCACCGAGAACCATTTTATCTTTCCGATTTTTTTTAAGCTCCCAACAGAGGAAAGGGATTACTTTCTTCCTAATCAAAGTCAATTAGATATGCTGTGTCCACATCTCATTGAAAGACTGTCAAAAGTTGTGGATTCAATATTGTCACATTCAACAAAAAACTCAGGTATTTTAGCAAATTATTCCAAATCAGAAAGATTTTCAAAGCATTCCAAGTGAGTTGTTTCTTTTTACTTTCTGTAGCATTAATCAATTTATGCTTATATTTTCACCTTTCTTGTTGTTGATGGAATTAATTGGTAGAATATGTAAGATCTATTTCTAGCTAGATTGGTTTCTCTATGTATTGACAAAATTGTTTATTGGTATGATTCAATATTTCACTTTCAATAAAAACTTCAGTTTTGAGTCCGAGTCAAATTTTTAAATGATATTATTAGTCCAAGGTTGTAAAGACTCATCATTACAAATGATATGTTTTAAAAACAGTCAAATCATTACTCACTGTTAGTAAAAGCTTTCTATAGCAATATTTCGCTTCTAAGTACTTGATTGTAGGCTAATTCCTGCATTTTTATCGTCTGTTTTTTAATTTCATGATATGTATAGTTTCGCCTTCGTGTTTTTGACTGTAGATTAAATGGACAAACAATTGAAAACTGCTCAAATGTTAAGAGCATCGGATTTTCGAACCCTAAATTAGTTACAAAAATTAACTGGAAACCTGAAGACAGACATTTCGGAGGTCTAGGCTGGATGCCAAGTAGGCACGCTTCTTTCAAAAATTTACGTGCACCAAAGTGCTTAACAAAAGAAAATGAGAACAAAAAGGACTTGATTACTGATGATGTGGAGATTCTTGAAGCACTGCCGGGTTTGGAAAACAGTCGGTTAATCGGAGATCATTGTACGTATAAATGATGATTTATGTGTGCCTGATATTTCCTTTGCTCTCATCGTATAACTGATATTCATTGATTAATGTCCAGCTAAATATAATTGATATTAATAAAAAGCCAACTAAGAAATTGGAAATTTCAAATTTCTTCTATAAATTGTATAGGTTATGTCTTATCACCAGTTTTATTGTCTCTGATATAATGATTTTTTTCGGAATTTTACTTGATTTGCAGTCAGTTATAATTATTCTAGAGCCTAGCACAAACATGCTTTACCCCGATTCGTTGTAGCACGTTGGCACATCGAAGTTGAATAAATAATGCAAAAGATTAAACATCGAGAACATGGTTCTAAAAGATTTAATAGATAGGTGTGTTTGGAGGAATGCTAGAACTCGTCACTTGGAAGAAGATAAAGAGTGAATGCATCTGGGCTGTCAGAATCAATTCTGAACTATGCCACCTAGTGTTTCTCATTACGGATCGTAATTATCACCCGGATTCTAGGTAGGTAGTTTGAACTTGACGAAATTACTAAGACCAACAGTCAATGATTTCATGAACCGATGACATGTCTTGGTTTGGTGTCTCCTAGATGTTCTCTAACCTACTTCTACACCAGCTATCAACACACAACGAAGTAGGTGGGGTTTTGCATACATATCACATGTTATAACCATTCCAGTTGATAACGATTCACTAACTCATCAGTCTATTCGATATCTTTACCCAGTAATCTTCGTCTAACTTTAATATAGCTCCTTTGGTGGGCCTAGCACGCACAAGCGTTAATTTGAAGGCACCCATCACAATACTGATGAAAGCTATTCATAAGCTCCGGGTATATCAATGGTGTTCGAGTGAAGAGCCTTCACATAGTTTATGTATTTCACTAGCACACCTTTCAGTGGTAAACACGGCCACACAGTTTCTCAGTTAACTGAGTCGAATGACTCTTTCGTGTTAAAATTGAATAAAAGGTCGGCAATCTTGAAGAACTTGGTTTCTATTATTCATTGTGTTTAATCTCTAATTCAAAAGACAATAAATAAGATGTCATCAATAAATGGCAAATTAAACCAACATTGAAATTTTATAAATGTTACATTGGTTATCTTATTTTTTAAAACATCTTTAGTGAAGAAAAAGATGAAAATAAAATTCAGACAGATTTAACGAATATTGTTGATAAAATATGAAGGTGAATTCCATATTTCAAGTTTTCCTAACCTTGTGTATAAAGCCTTGTTGTCACTGAAAAGTACTAAATTACGTTTAAATATTTAGTTTAACTAGAGCTTATGTAATATCCAAGTGTTCAGTATAAGAGGTTTTATTATCAGTTTCCTATTAGACGTTACTTATTGTAGTTCTAAATTATCAACTTTATATAATTTGTTACGTATCAACATATGTGTAAAGAGTGAAATCTAAAAAATGTCATCGATAATTTTTATCGTTGTAAAAAAATTTGGAAGTAAAACCGATCAGGCACTTTTTTACCTACTTACTTATAGGCTTACTCGACCCTATGCACTCTTTGTGGTAATAAAAACTAAATTCAATAAAGATACTTGGTGTATCTATTATTCAAACTAACGAGGATAGAATTAAACTATCTTTGTAATCTGTTTTATGAGCTCAAGTGTAATACACACACTGCAAATTATAATAGAATGGGATAATTAAATTAATTGTAGTTAGATATTCAGCTTTCTTTTGCTTCTTTTTTCGGTGGTTTTACAATTGATGCCAACTTGTAATAACATCATCTTTGTAATTGAATACTAATCTTTCTATGTAACTTTAAACAGATTGATATTTTTGGTTAACTGTTTACTCATGGTAATGGTAATCTTTTTTTTTAAAAGATTATTTGACGCTAAGTGACTCAGAAAGTGATGACGGTGACATCACCTTAACGAAATCAAAAGCTGAATGTTCGTTAACAAAACAAAAGATTGGGACATCTACTGTATATCAAGCAAGTAAAAAAAAAAAGACTAAGAAAAGCGATGATGATCCGACCTGGAATATGCCTAGTAAGTTAAATAATTATTTTCATTTTTTAAAACAATCTCACTGCATAGTTCCGCGGAAATTTAATGCCCAGTATATACAGGACATTACACGTAAAAGTTTTGTTTCAGCAATTTCAACAATTCAGATTTAAACAGTTCAATTGTACTTTAGCGGTTCACTACTGGACTCCAATGTGGACGAATGATCGAGTGTGCAATGAAATAAATCTTCCTTTCCACTTCCGTATATTATACTTAGACTAACCCCGTTTGTGCGACGGTGGTAATAAAAAGGCCAAATACGGTTTCGCGGATGAATTTATTTCATGCAATTATTTATGCAGACAAATATGAGAAAGAAAGCGTACAAGCAAAACGAAGCAAATTGCAGAAGGCGAGTGAGCCAACTCTTCATGAGCAATAATAGGCTAGACATATCATAAGCGATAAAGCATCCACACACAATCAAATATACAATAATCGATACAGTAATCGAATTATTACAAATACAAAATTATGGTTGATACAATTATCGAATAATTATTAAAGTACAATGAATGAGTGGTTAGATGCTACAATACTTCCCCTTAACAAATTAGAACCAGAATGCCAGACAAAATGGAATTATTTAAATTTCTATCGCTGAAATTATTCAAATACAATCCTTACCTTTGATTATCGAAAATCAATTCTCGAGGTAAATACACTTTCATCTATCGCTGGGTGTCATTTCAACAACTCCCTACTCTAAAATTACCAACAGTGAATAGAGTCCTTTCTTCCTCCCCAAATGATCTCATATGTCCTCGCGTATTCAGCCACTGCCAGGGAAGTCCTAATTACTGCATTCTCTTTGCGAGGATATAGTTTACATTAATGTACATATATATATAAACAATCTGATAATTGGTTGTGATACGAGTCTACCAAACTTTAACCTAATTTCATTCAGCCGACACAGGTTTTAAAGTAGAAAACATCTTATTAAAGGTAACAGTAAATTCGTATGTGTACTTTTTTAACTATGAAAGCACTTAATCCATTCTCCAAGCATGAATTCGCCTCTTGTTCCTGTTTTCAATAGTCTTTTAAATATATTCGGAAAATAATACCTAATTAACTATTAGCAACTGGTTGTACATTTCTTTATTTTACAGATCTTACGCGTCGTAAATTCAGTACAACTGAATGGAAGTCAAAGAGTTCAAAGCCGCCTGTTGCTTCAAATTTAAAAAATGTTAAAAAATCATTGGTAAATATTTCTAATGTTTAATATATTTTACTAATATAATTTTCAACTATTTTATGGAATTAATCACCCATAAATAATATACTATTGGGACATATTTGAATTAGACTAGTTCATGTAATAATGTTTGTAATTATTAAAGTTCTATTCTTTGTTGTTATTATTATTGTTTGGTGTTATAGACACAAAATCTGATAAGAAAAATATACGCTCTAAGTATATTAAACTAAACAACATCTTAAGTGTAGCTAGTATTTTCAGACTGTTGTCCCTGAAAACTTGAGCTAATACATTCGAAATATTTCCATTCCTTCTAAAATTTCTTTTCACCCTTTTTTTTAGAACATAAAGAGTTAATAATTAACATTATTTACATTCAGGTGGTGATTCTGTCATCTTGTTGAGAATTAACCCATTCACGTTTGGTTTTTCAATATTCTTCAGTTGTTCCAACCTTCGTTTTTGAAAACTTATCACTAAATCTTTCATGCTTGCGACTTCTATCAAACCACTTGAAAGAAGTACGAACTCTCAATTGCGGCTTTGTACGGTTTAGAGTAGTTACTTATTTGGCAGGAACAAGTTTGACGCTCATGAATTCAACATAATCCCTATTATATCCCTCAATGCTCTATCAATCAAGCTCCTAACAAATAAGAAACAGAAAAAGTAGAATTGTTTTCACAAACTAAACAGGCGATACCAGTCAACAGTACATTGATATTTACGGAAGAATGAGAGGTTTTCTTGAGAACGCAACTTGAAAAAAACTACCTCTAAATCAATAGTACATTTGCACTGTAGCGTTGTTATACATCTTCACTGTGGTTAATCATCTCATGGTATGGCTGTACATATTAATTTGTTGTACTATTTACTAAACTGATTGTATGCATTATTAGTATACGCATTGTCAACTAATAAATTATCCCGTAAATGATATATTTATTGAAATACTTATGGGATTTTATTTATTACAATAATGCAATAGTGTAAACCGTTTCTATGTGCATCCAATGTTATTTGACCTTCTAGTATCGGATATTATTTATCATTATTTATTTATTTATTATTATTTTCATTTCTATAGCAGCATCCTCTACTCAGTGAGCTTAATCCATCATCGTCATCATCGAGCTCGAATATTTTAAAACCTGGAGGTTAGTATAAACCAACTAATTAAATCAGATTTATCTTATATTATTATAATTATTATTCCTACTATAAATGTAGTTGCATTAGCTACATCGTTTTTATAAAAAAATTGCTTACCCTTAATCTCATCTCTCCCAAATTATTTAATCATTCGCTTCAGTTTATGCAGTAATTTGTGTAGTCTGTTAATGTTTGCTGCTACCTCTCGGTAGTCACTAGTGCATTCCCTAGTTGGACTAATTTGATTGGACGAGATTCATAATACTAACAAACAGTTAGTAGTATACAAATCTTTACTTGTTCACTGAATTACAATATGATTAATAACACTCCAGTACGGTTTGATTTATTTAATTTAATTGACTGTAAATCCGTCTATTTCGTTGCTCTTTAAACAAAGATTATTATCTTCATAGTTATAAATACGTAGATGAAACGGTACAATATTTATTACATAACTCTGAACAGTTTTGTTATCATTTGTTCTATATTTTTTCGCAAAGCTTCATGATTTTTTTAAATATTATATATGTATATGTCTTTCGAATAATATTGTGTTACTATCATAGCAACACATTTGTGTGTTGTGGTTGTTGTTAGTCGGGAACCTATGTTCTATCTATAAAATAAAAACCAGGACATTTTCTAGTCATAGAAACTAAGAAAGCTTTCTATTGACATTTAGCTACTTTTTAAATTTCTGGTAATATAGATCTAATGGATTTCATTGAATTTATGTAAACATAATTAGACTCTTGTTATTATTGTGCTGTAAATTAAAACAATTCATCTGATTGACTTCTAATTACCACTAAGTTATGAATGCCATTCCCTTGATTGTTGTTTCGTTTGTGTTAACCTAATTTTAAGAGATGGAAACCAGTATAGTAACTTCTTTCCTGATATTTATTTATCTTAATTTTCTTTGTCTTTTTCCTTTTTTTCTCTTTTTATCTTAACAGCTCTATCAACATTGCATCCGCATATGATGACAACAGTAAATTCAAAAAAACCACGAACTAAACACAATAAAACAACAGTTAGACAACGTCTTGCTAAACATTTAGGTATTTAATTCATTTTAACAATAATACAAATGTTATCTAATCTACACATTATCTATTTGTATGCTGATCTATTATTATTAGAAGTCTACTAATAATTGTTTAAAATCCTATTAATAGTATCTTTTTCTACCGACATAACTATATATGTATAATGAAATTATTTGATCCCTGTAAATTTGTCATAACAATTTCTTCTTATTATAACCATATTTATACATATGTATATACACATACACATGCATAAGCATTTCTTTTTATCTGAATATTGTATGATCTAATCATCATTGAAGGAATTTTCACATGTACTTCAGTTTTACCATTGTTTTAGCTATTATTATTATTATTATTATTGTCTATGATCACAATACTACTATTGACGAATGCAGCATATAATGATTTTTTTTTAAATTATTATATTTCAACTAATTGTAGTAAGTTATTTTGCTATTCTGAATTGATCACTAACAAACAATACGATTAGATTTACGTACCTTACACTTTTTGGTCTTCTTCTTGTTTTAGTTATATTTTAATTTTGTGAAATGTAAACTTTAATTGCATTTACATGTATAAGTATGCTACTGATTAATGCCGATAATATCAACTAACTTTTTTTTAATAATTCATGATATATTTTAAACTTATAGAATAGTTGAAGAACTGAATGTTTCTTTTTTCAACTTCCACCTATGCATTTCTTCATGTAATTTCATTTATTTCACCTCATCTATTTTTCCCATTATCTCATCCTCATTTTCTCTAAATCTCCGGAACCATTTATGTAGTAGTGACCATCAAATATATATATATATATATATATATATATATGTCCTTAGGTTATTTAATTAGTAATAGTATGAATCTATTAGGTCAGGTATTTTCTCTTCTATCATGTTTGTCTTTTAGCATTTTTCCGGAACAATTGTTTTCTAATATGTGTATATCTTATGGAACTTTTATTTATTCACTTTGTTATTGTTATTTTTTGTTACGCTTACTATTGTTTGTTTTTTTTTTAACTTTACATACTCGTTTTTTTTTAAAATATTTGTTTATTTGCATACAAATGGAACTAGTTATTCATATTCATCGTTTATTCAGTTCATTCTTTTAGGAATGTTTATTGGTCTTTTGTAAGAAAGTGTTCTTGGCAAATAGGTTTCATATAAATTGTTTCCTATAAATGATCGTCTTTTATATTTTCGGTAGTTGGTTGGTTAAGGTAACCTATTGTTAGTAGTTAACACTAGTATTTATACACATTTTGAAATCATTGTTAGACCACCATTAGAAACCTAGAACGTTATCATTCTGATACGCATAGATTGTATACACTCCATAACAAGTGGAGTTGATTGGTTTTCGAATGTGTTTGTGTTGATTGATTATTTTCACGGAAATAAAAAGAATAACCTCCGGCAAAACCTAGTTCGTGTAGCTGTGTTATGTAGTAGGCAGGTTTCTTCAATTTTACGTTCGTCGAGTGAACACCTTTTTGTCCGTGTTTCACAGCTCTCAGTGGCATCTGAGCTAAGTCTTTGCCGGTACTTACTTCAGCGGTACATATACTAAAATTGGAACGATGTAGAGATTAGCACGACCTCTACGCAAAGATAACTGGTAAAATCGCTAAGCGTCTTATATTTTTGATTACAAACGCCTTGGTATGACGTAGTGTGAGGAAAGTCCGCTCTCCCTCGCCAAATGACCTCAATTATCCACGCTTATACAACCGCTGCCAGGGAAGTCCTACTTACTGTCTTCTTGTTATGCTCGTCACCTAATATGCTTGAAACGATTACGACTACACCTAAGTCGATAAACGAGACAGTGACACAGTAGGTTACTCTGATCCGTTGCCCCAACTAACTGAAGAAGAAGTCTTGATATGGCGTAAAAAGTGTATTCTACAAACACCCAGTAATTACAATTATCTCAAGCACACAAATCGCATTTATTTACACATCACAGAAACGTCCTTGGGAGGGTCACAAAAATAGTGTACTAAAATAACATATCAATCAATCACAGCTAAGGATTTTCCTGGCGGGAAATGTGATCTCAGGGTCAACTGATCAACCCAAGATCAAGACATTTATCAAGCGAGTCCTGGGGGTCGAACGTTCCCAGCACTTCTCATGGCGGTGTTGCTTACAAAACTGAGTGGATGGAAAGCAAATATCTGACACTAGGACCGGATTAGTCGGTATGGAGGATCATTCCAGGGGGGTCGGAAAACCTGGGTTCTAAACCAGTGGTGTGCGCAGACCTCAGGATCGTAAGGGGACGAATGGTGCTTCAACCTATTGTTGGTCACTAGCTACCATGAGACCGCATTTCCTAACATCAATCCCCTGCCTTGTCGATTAGACCTGTAGACCAAAGGCTCACGGAGTGGTGCACTAAGAATACCACCTGCTTCGGTTTTTGCACTCGGAAGGTATCCTAACCAGTCAGCACACAAGTTCAGTGATTTGTTTGGTGCATGTAAATTTGGATGTCCCTTTGTATCAATGTTTATCTGCTTAAATAAACAATCCTCTCCGGCGAATTTACGTATTTTAAAATTCCAGCGTGGATTAGTTTCCATTAGCATATTTTAAAAAGTTATGAACAAATTAGAACAAGTTACAAATCTATACCAAGTCAAAGTATCTCTCTTCAGGTCAGCCAATTGGCAGGAAAAGTCCAAAAAAAATAATAATACTAATGGTATTGGTGCCATATCAACTTAAGTCCCTAGTATGGGTTGCACTAACATATTTCAACTCAGTGGTGTTTCCTATGGATACCAGTTTGACGTATAATGAATACATCGGTCAATTCTCTAGGAGTTCAATTCCAGACGTGACAGAAAATATAATGGGTGTCCATGTATGGATAGCTGTCTGAATTAATACAGTTTGATCGAGAGACGCTTAATCACAGAAGCAAAATTAGGTTCTATATAGTCACCCGAATTACTGAATATTAGTAGGGAGAACAGTTGGTTTGCCAGTTTGCATGCTATCTCATTCTCAAAATAGAGTACAAGATAGGCATGAATTTAAAGCATTACCTATCAGGATGCAAGCATATTCGAAGTTCATGGGACATCCAGAAGACTGACGGATGTTGGGATTAGAACACTTGTCACCAATAACATTGGGTGATTGCACATTAGAATAATAGCAGTTGGCATTGGGGATCAATTTAGTGTTTCTTAAAGTTAAGCGCTGATTGCAAGAGCTAAATTTTCCTATATTATAATATCAGAATCATGCATTTGAAGTTTTTGATTGAAAATAAAGTCAAACAGAACTTGTCATTAAAAAAGGCGCTACATTTTATGTGCTTTCCTAATTACTATAAGATTGAACAATAATTCACTGTAGTTATTTTCTGAATAGTTAGCGTTCGTCGCTAACGGTAAGTTGTTCATGTCCCCAAACAGTATAATAACCAGTTGATTGTAGGACATTACTTATTTGAGGGGCATAGCCAAAGATGTAGCCTGGATATAGAATTCTACTTTCTCATTGATCAACAGTGAAATGAATGGTTTTCATTTTAAAAAATTCCGTTCTGTCTAGGACTCTTACTATTGGCATTACTTATATAATTCACAACGTACTATACTGACTTGTACACATTTATGCAGATAAACATTTCTTTTCAACTTGCTTTTAGTAACAAACCTCTGAACGAGTAATATCAAGATCAGATCAGAAGTTGATAGGCGGAATATAGCAAACTATGTCTGAGTATTAACTTAGAATAAAATATATTAATAAAATAATTTATTTATATTACCTAGCATTCATGATTTTATAATAATATTAATTTATTTTTGAAATGGCGGTGATATATTGAAGGGTAATATCCCTAATTTACATTTCGTTTTCATTTGGGATTTGTCAACTTACTTTGTCTACTTTCCGTTATTATAGTATTTCGATGTTACTGAAATAAAATATATGTAAATATAGTATGACCTTTAATATAACAGTCAAACACTGTTTTAACACCTTGTTTTATAGCTTTAATCTGACTCATTTCATAAGGTCATTTTCGTATAAATACAACAAAAACCATCATGTGACATAAATGTTAGTCAGGTAATTTATGGATTATTTCCGGATGTATAGTATCGTGTAAATTTTCACCAACCAGCTATAAATAGTTATTCATATTAATCTTATTTAGACCATATTATGGCTTTATTTTGAATAATTATTTTGTCTGAACACATGCTTACTAAACGATCATAAGTGTTGGTCAATGACTGGAATTACAATTATTTAAATATTGATACTTTATGAACAATACAAATCTGTCAATAGATTTGTTTCCCCTCAATACATTTTTTACATGTTAAGTATCCATTTTTCACTCATTTTTAAATATTATTCCTCACTTACAAATAACCCATATCTTGTTGTAATCAAATACCAGTAAACGGTGATAAATAGTCTAACTTACCTTACATGTGAGAAAACTACACATTTTACAGAAACTGATTTTCATCAATCCGAATGTTAATTTTTGATTTTAGGAGAATTTTAACAACCCTAATATCATATTACTTTTTCATAGATGAAATTTGTTTTGTACAAAAGTTTCAGAAACTTGGCAATGATCATAGTTGAAATGGTCCATACTAAGTAGTATTCTACTTACTTACTTCTTCAATTTCACCTGTTGACACTCGTGGGGCAAGGGCTGCCGACTAGCAATCTCTAACCAAATCTGTCCCTTTCACTTGCTGCCAAGTGCTATTCATTCTTTTCCTCTCCAATTCTTGGCGCAATGTTATGAGTTGCATATGTTCTTGAATTGTACAAATGCTACTCTTGCTCTGACAATCCGTGTCTCCACTTCTGTATCGGATCTACAGTGTTTATCAATGGTGCTGACCAGGTGTGCAAAAGTTTCCACATCTTCTGGAGATTCTCTGACAAGAGTGATTGGGTTGTTGCTCAGTGTGTTGTATCCAAGCAACATGCACTTTCCTTGTGCATGTTGATGTCTACTGTCAGACTGGCCGTCTCCATGTGCATTTGCTGCTGTGTGTGGAATCGAATGTCTGGTAGTGATTTGCAAAGTCCAAATTGTCTAGCTGCATCGATGCTGTGCACTGTATTCAGTGTTTCACCTGAGATGTTGACATTTGCATAATTCAGTCAAACACAAGAAGAAAGACTGAGAGTAAACAGCTTTGTCTGACACCATTCGTCATTTGAGGCGAATGTACATTATCTCTACTTTTATTTCCCCTTCATAAACATGAATGTTAAAAAATAAACACTCACTGGGCTGAATAAGAAAATACCCCTACAGACTCATACCTAATTCTGGTAATTAAGAATTAAATTGAGCATTCCATGAAATGTAAAATTAGTTACACATAATTATCAACAAACCATTTAAGATATAAGTATAACCTCTTCACCAATAATCGTTATGTTCCCATTGCGCACATGGTTATACATAAAAATTGACCATCTGTTTTGTTTCTTTGTTGAAGGATAAAAAATATGATATTTTCTATTCATTGAGATGTATGCGGTTTCAGTCATATACATTGATGTATTCATCTTTATGTATGTATATATGAGATTTTGATTCGATATATTATTATAATACCTCAAAACATCCGAAATAAGATTCATATTCAATCTAAATATCGATTTAATCTGTAAGTTAATTACTACGTTGTCTGATTCTCAATAAAGCTCTGTTAATCTTCAATCTATTCACCTAGAAATAATATCAATTTGAAATAGTCAGCTTATGTCGCGTTCGCTTGTGGATAAATACTAAGTAGAGAGCTATCTTTTGTGGTTTAATTGATAAATATTTTTTTTCGTATATCTGAATGACTATTTATCTCCAAGTTATTGACTGTTTCAACTCCTGTTTATCTACATGTCTACATTCAGGCTTAAAGTTTTGGTTAACTGACATCTGTGTTTGAAATTGTAATTCAGGCAAAACTTAGCGATATTAATCAATGACTTTCTTAAAAAACTAATATCACTGATTTGGTCTTGAATAGTTTTCATTTCATTGTGACATAAGACATAAATATTATACTTCCATGAGTGAAAACATGTTTTTTAAGTTTCATTGTCAACATTCTGTGATCACAGATGATTTAATTAACTGACCAGTACAAGTTTATAAAATCAAATGATAGATTCATCAGAAGTTTATTTAGTATCAACGCGAACGACATCACAGCTCTTGTTCTTCTTGATATTTTCATTCAATGATGAATAAGTCAGTAGGGAAGACTGTTAATTTTTAATGCTGTTAACACTTACAGTGATATTATTATTGTTCTAATGTAAAACTAGATATATTTGAATGCAGGCTAGGAAACCAATCAATTTTATTGTATATTAAATGAGTGGTGACTAATAGGAGTAAGAATAAAAAAGGATGTACATCAATGCACCAAAATCAATATACAGATAAAAGTTTCATTTATTAAATATACAGATTGAGACATAACAGTTTTTCGAAGGGAACAGACACTAGCGAATCTCTCACCATTTTCGTTTCTTTTTCTCAGTCTATGTTGTCCCATTATCTCCTCTTGGAGCCGCTTCTGGGGATATTTCCTGTCCTGATCCCTGGATAAACGAGAGTTGAGCACGGGATTGACGACCCCATCCCACAAAAAAACTAACTCGCTAAAAATACGCTAACCATAATAAATAATTCAAACCACTTTAACTCTGCCCTGGGAGTTGGATGAAGAATTATGACGTCGAGTGATGAAAGCCGAGTTCCCTCGGAAGTCACGAGGCTGATGCCTCTTCTGACAACCAGAGAAACCATTCTGGATTCGTTAGCCAGACACCGACTGTGTCAGAGAACAAACCAGATTCCAGCGGAGGCGGAAGTCAAGAAGAAGCGGTGGAGGTGGATAGGACACACACTGCGAAAAGCACCGAACTGCATCACAATACAAGCCCTTTTTTGGAACCCTCAAGGTTTAAGGAAAAGAGGAAGGCCAGGGAACACATTACGCCGAGAAATAGACAAAGACATGAAAAGAATGAACAAATATTGGACAGAACTAGAAAGGGAAGCCCAGAACAGAGTTGGCTGGAGAGAACTAGTCGATGGCCAATGCTCCATTGGAGGTAACAGGTGAAAGTAAGTAATGTTGTCCCATTATGCTTTCATATTCAGTGTTGTCCATTCTAACCTTGGCGTTTACGTCTCCCATCAGAATGGTCAAGTCGTTGGTTGGGCATTTCTCTACGACTGAATGCGGCCTCTCGTTGAATTGGTCTTTATCAGCTTCATTGTTATCATTGGTGGGTGAACAGCACTACATGACATTCATTGTCATCTTTTCTCTCTTTGTCTTGAAGGAGGTTTTCATGATGCTTCGGCCATGAGATTCCTATCCTATAATAGGTGTTCGTGCTTGTTTGGACAGCATCAGTACAACTGCGTGTATGTGGGGTATTTTCGTCTTCCTTATCGGAGTATAAAAGTATCTCTCTTGAAGCTAGTCTATGATGTCCAACCTGCGTTCCATATGTTTCACTGATGCTATGTACCACAAGGTTGTATCTTTTAACTCCTCATCAACTTGGCTGACTATTCCAGTCTCTCAGATTGTGCGAACATTTCGAGTTTCCATGGTAATGGTTGCTCAGGTTGTCAGCAGAGGCCCAGTCCCTGTGACTTCCGAAGGATCTGGGCTTTCATCATGAAGCATAATAAATCTTCTAAATGAAGACCTAACTCACAGGGAAGAGTTTAAATGGCTTGCAATAATAACCACTAATTGTTAAGAGCTGTTCGAATCCTTTATTCCGATTATCGTATGTTGAATAAATTCATACAAACAGAATTAGAATATACAGAAAAGAATTTTTGTTTATTTTACGTATTCAGATCGGATGCCTCGTCATGTTTGTCACTTTCCACTTACAAGATGGATAAGTGAGAAATATTGTTCGAAACCAGTAAATGTTTCGGTACTTGGCATTTATTAATCAATATTCAACCGGATATCAAGACAAAGTCGACGAGAATATATAATTATCCTGTAATATCAATCTTCGATTTGGGTAAAGAAATTGATTTGCTAGTAGATTGAATCAACCTATCAACAGAAATGCTGTAAAAGCATGAAATATTTATTTCTCATGATCTTACAAGTTTCTAGCATAATATTTCATTTAGTTAAATTATCTCATCATCAATGATATTGTGTTCTGCAATAAATACTCCTTTTTCATAGTAAAATTACATTTCAAACGTAAGTGAAGTATATGTGTGAGCCCTTTTTCATTTACCTGCTGTTTGAATGTATAGGCCATGATTACAAAACAAAATTCAGTCAAAAACCGTTGATGAATTTCATAAAATTAAATTTTAATGTTACGTTATGAATCATACATTTTTTTGGATACATTGATTAATGCTCTTGTTGTAAGTTGTATTAAGGTAGAAAAAATGCACTTCTAAATTATTTCCTGACCTGAGTGACAATAATCGTATTACAGTTTGTGAACCTCAACCAATGGAAACATAGGATTTTTCACCTAGTCAACCAATCCAAAGTACATGGAGTAAACGCATCTTCAAATGTTTCCACAAAATGTGATCAAATCTTTACTAGGAAAAGTGGATTTATGATTATCATATTACTAGGTTTCACATTGTTTTTATTATAAAGGCAGATGAAATGCAATCAGAGAATGGGATTTTTAACAGTTCACAGATAACTGTCAATGACTTTGACTATAAATCAACTTTACAAAGTAAACTAGGGCTGAATGTTACTCATCAATCTCAAGTGACGTTAAATACTATGTCACTGTGTAACAATTTAGATGAAAACATGACAGATATGTCAATGGACTTTAATTTAAATCAGATTGAATGTATTTGTCAAGTACTCTATCATAACCAAGATATTGATCGACTGAAGACATTCCTGTCGAAAATATCAACAACTACAATGTATCATAACAATGAAATAATTGTGAAATGCAGAGCATTAGTTTTGTTCATCAATAAAGAATTTACTGAATTACTTAGAATCTTAAACAATTTCCCATTTAGTTTCTATAATCATAATGAAATGCAAAATTTATGGTATCAAACACAATATGCACAAATCGAGAAATCTCGTGGTCATCAATTGAATGCTGTAGCCAAATATCGTATACGTAAAAAATTCCCACCTCCAAAAACAATATGGGATGGAGATGAAGTGACGTATCATTTTAAAGATAAATCAAGAAATTATTTAGTTGAACAATTTGTACACAATCCATATCCATCTATTGTGGAAAAAAAATTGTTAGCTAAGCATAGTGGTCTTACTACAACACAAGTATCCAATTGGTTTAAGAATCGAAGACAACGTGATAAAACTCTTAATAATTTTAAAATTAAATGGTAAGTTCAATTTTTTATCGCTCAAAATTTCAACTTTTATGATAAATTTATTATGTTATGAGATTGTTTGCATCTAAGAGAAAAATTGAGCTTTAAATGAAAGTGTATCATCCTAGTTTTTATCTTTTCAGTAAAGGATGTATTACTTTGATCAGTAATAAAATCAACTGCAGAAATTTTAAGTCCCAGGACTTACATGACCTATGAGCTAATCAGTTATAGGATACCGTATAATACTTGTGGACTTGAGTAGGCTTATGATGATGTGATTACTCTTTAAACCAGTAACCATCAGTTTTCCAATGTTACTTAATTCACTCCAATTGCCAATAGAATAATAACTCATTAGTTTTAATCCTTCTGATTTAATAGTGATGTGATCTGCAAAAATGCGGGAGTTGTATTTTAAAGACAGAAAGGGTTAACAGTGCTTAGTACAAATGATTTTCAGATTAACATAAAATACCATCAAAGAGTTTTAGTTCTCAAGAATATGCGAATCCCCAACATGACTATTAGTCTTAAAAACAAGAAAAATTTATATGAGAGCGTTCATAGGTGATATTATATTATATTATATTATATTATATATTATAACGTTTTCTTGTTAACATTAGTAATGTACTCAATTTTCTGTAGTGTGAATCAAACTTCATAAGTTAGTTTCATAAAACACTAATGATGTGAACTATTCCGTCATAGATGACCAGATACATTTTCTATATTAGTGTATTAATAATATTTGACTGGAACAAATTCTTTAGCAAATGATGTTCTATTGCATTGCTTATTCTAGCTAAATGTTCAAAATGTTAAGCTACTACTGTCAACTTGTATTGTACAAGTTAAATTGTGATTAAGCTATTGGTTGTGATGAAGTTAATAGACTAATCAGTGTATAGTTAGGAAAAAGATATCAATTAATTAGAGGGTAGAACTAAAGTTATCATTTGAAACATAATTACGTTTAAACTACTATTTGTTTTTCCACTGATCGATTATGACACATGTAATCTAATTGAGAGTTATGTTGCTGTTGATTTGGAGCTGAAAAATATTTTTCATTGTATATTGACTCAATTTTTGACTAATGACAAAATGATCCGAAGATACTCGAAGTTGATTTACTCATGTGATTAGTACAATCTGATTATAACTTGTGAATGAATGCCAAAAACAACATAACAAATAATCCTCAGCATATATTAAATTGTATTTTTTTTAAATTACTGTTAATTAGTTTCATCAGTAAGTAACTTGGTTGTCATTTATCACTTGTCAGTTGTAAATTCCATTATCGATAATGTCTCATTTCTTCTAAATAATTATATCACTACTCATTAACTGAGTACACGTTAGTACACTTAGCATTGAAGCACACATTTTATGCAACAGCTTAAGACACTACTTGATTACTTAAAGAGTAATCGACATAGCCATGTTCAAACATTCAGTTCATTGGTTGAAAATTAAGCATTTTAACGAATAAACAATCTATCCCCTTCTTTGTTTTGAATATTTTTTTTACTAAAAATTACAAAAACATTTTAGCAAAACATAGTTTATACACTATTTAGATGCTTGATAATTTTCATATGATTATATATTTTGTCTAGTAACTTTAAAAACAAAAGATAATTTGTTTCAAAATGAAAAATAATTTTATATAACAATTCTTGAATGTTACAAATAAATAAAAATGATACTATTTAGGCAAATATTCAAATGAAAGCTAAAATAATTGTGTTGATCAATTGGTTGATCAATAAATCAGTTGTTAAAATTGAAATGTTGAATTGTTTTTCATACAGTAGGCTAAGTGATTTTTTCAAGGTTGTTTCAATTTAATCAATTAAAAGTGTTGTTATTGTTTTATTATTAGCGTTCAAATTTTAATTTTTGCTTTTTTAATATAATTAAAGCGTGTTCATGATTTTAAAATAGGTGTTAATTGGAAGGACAATTATGATTTCACTATAATTCTTAGTTTAAAGGATCTCCGATCATTCTGACTGTACAAACAGCAATCTTTCATAGTGAAACGTACATATAATTCTGATTTAGAATTTCTAATTATATTGGGACTGGCAGTATGAAAACACTCTCGTAGTGATCCAAACAGGATTGGGACTCAGTATTTTTCTTGAAATACTGGTACTATTCACAGCATCTTTATTGATCAGCAAATGGGTTCAGATGAGAATTACGTGTTCATCTCCTAATGTTAAATCTACAGCAATAAGGACACACTAAGTTAATTCTTTCCGACTTAACAAATCAACATAAATTGTATCCAACTATTCAGGAAGCTTGACTGATAAAAATAAAAGCAAATGCTCCTACAAGGCTACTCTCAATATACAAGTTTATTATAGTCAATCAGAGCAAGTTGACTATTGGACATGTTTGTCTAATTCTAGTATATAAATAATTGTCAACGAAAGAATGTGCTGTTTACAAATCATCTAGTTAGTGTCTCTTTTCCTAGATAGTTATCGTCTATTTCTTTTTAAAAATTATCGTAAAATAACAGAATAGTTCATTTTAGATACTTCTGTTATGATTTCTCACTAGCTATGAAATACAGTCGATGCACTGAAAAAGCGATCAACTTTTCGTATCATATTTTCAACTAATAATTTGAATAGAATATTACAATAGAAATTACACGCAACAAATCAAACCGCATAAAGTACAATCGATGATTAGTATTTAACTAATTTGGTGTAAACTCTGCCTACAAATCATAAACGCATTCTTCTAAAAAATATTTCATTTTATAATTGACAAATTGATAAACAGATGATTTCATCCCTCATAGTTGTGTACTAGAAATTAGTACAGAAATCTGAACGTGGTTAGTGACTTACAATCACCCACTGTTTGGTAGCTAGAATAAAAGAGCTCCCAGTTTCTATCACCAAAGTTTAAACAAGGCTCCACGAAAGATATATATGAAAATATGTGTATAACTAACTACGCCTATAGAGATTCTAGGTTAAATGATAGTCTCAAGCTTGAATAAAAGAGGAGGGTTGGGCAGCATGCCGTAAAAAACTAACTCGTTATGAAAACGCTAACCAGAATAAATAATTCAGCCCATTTAAACTCTGCCCTAGGAGATAGAAGGTCTTCGATTAGAAAAGTTATTACGCCTCGTGATGAAAGCCCAGTTCCTTCGGAAGTCACAGGGGCTGTGCCCCTTCTGACAACCTCAGCAACCATTATCACGGAAACTTGGAATATTCGTATAATGTGAGAGGCTGGGAGGATTATTCAGATAGCTACAGAACTGAAATCATACAAGCTGATGAAGCTTGGAATAAGTGAAACCCACTAGGAGTGGGCTAGGAAAAAAGATGAGACACAGTAGAGTTGGTGCTGTAACCCGACCACGAAGAAGAAAATCCCCCACACACATGCAGTTGTACTGACGCTATCCGAATAGGCTCGAACACCTATTGGATGGGTATCTCATGGACACTGCATCATGAAAGCCTCGTTCAAGACAAAGAAAAAAAGATTATAATTAATGTCATCCAGTGCTATGCATCCACCAACGATAAAAGTGAAGGTGATAAAGACCGATTCTACGACAGACCGCAGTTAGTCGTAGAGAAATGCACGACCAACGACTTGACCATTCTGATGGGAGACCTAAAAGCCAAGGTTGGAATAGATAACACTGAATACGAAAACACGATGGGGCAATATGGACTGAGAAGAAAGAACGAAAATGGTGAGCGATTTGCAAACCAATGTGTCTTCAGCAAACTGGTCATATGTGGCACAACATTTTCACACAATCGCATACACAAAGTCACATAGATTTCACCGGACCACGTTATAGAGAACCAAATCGATCAGATCCGAATCACTGAAAGTTCGGCAGTACCATTGAGGACGTGAGAACAAAGAGAGGAGTTGACATAGCTTCAGATCATCATGTGATGGTAAGCGAAACGAAGCTGAAACTAAGAAAGCCATGGACAACTGGGTGAACATTGTTACTAAATTTTGATACGGCCTTTCATCGAGATACTGACAAACTCAGCTAATTCAGTCTAGCTCTCAACACTGAATTCCAGATATATAGAAGACTGAGGGATGACAGTGGGGAGAGCAATTAGGGAGCTAAACATCAGACGACTGTGTGAAACGGTGGAGAAGTAATAATAAATCAGAGCGACTGATGAAGTAATTGGAAGGCAAAGCAATTACGAACATTTAATAAAAACAAGACAGGTGTGTAGAGCATTTTTAGGAACCCGTGGATAGACCAGGCTCACCAAAACCACCCAACATCCTAGCATCTCACACAGCCATTCCTATTATTGTCACCCCACCATCAGTCAAGGAAACATTCATGGCCATCAGACAAATGGCGAGTATGGATCATTTCAACTATGATCATTGTCAGTTTCTGAAACCTTTGTGCAAGCCTAATTTCATTTACTTGGTAATATGATACTAGGATTGGTAAATGTTTCTCAAATCTGAAGTTAACATTCGGATTGATGAAGATCAGTGGTTGTAAAATGTGACAAATGATGCTTCTTAGTTTACTCATATGTAAGGTAAGTTAGACCACCACCTTTTACTGGTATTTGATTACAACAAGATATAGGTTATTTGTAAGTGAGGAATAACATTTAAAAATGAGTGATGTATTGAATTCATCCAAGATATGCAGGTGTTTGCGAATTAACGTTTGTCTACGCGGGATACTCTGGATTCGTTCACGGGACACCATCAACATTACTCTACTTCCTCATAAAGCAAACATGCCTTTAGGTCAGAAATACACTAGAAACACTTTAGATAGAGATAACTCACATTGTGGATATAGCTCGAATGCGTCCTAATGCAAGCTCTGGCTTGGAACCTTCATGGTCAAAGGAAAAGTGGTAGATCAAGGAACTCACTGTCCCGAGAATTGGAGGCAGACATGAAAGGAACGAATATCAGTCGGGTAGAACTTGAATGGAATTCCCGGAACA